GCCTCTAAGTCAGTCACTTTTTTAGCAGTGGCAGCCTCACGCTTGGTTGCAGCAAGAATGGCATCCTGGACTTCAGCCTATTTAGCCTTAGATTCATCAATTCTAACCCTCAACAGGCCTATTCTTTGGCTAAGGGTTACCACCTTTTTCATGCTTTACTGCAAACGAGCCTCCAAAACAACAGCCTCAGTAGCTTTGGTTTGCAGTTTCGAAAGGTGGAGAACGGTTTGATCCCGTTCCACCAAAAGTTCATCCCGCTCAGAAGTAAGTTCCTCCTTCTTACGAATCAACCTCTGAAGGCCCTTAGAAGCAAGAAAGTTGGCCTACAAAACAAGAAAAGTAAAACTTAGAATACATTCATATAAAAGTAGAAGAAATAACAAAGGAAGAAAGGGAAGCACCGTTGCGGCATTGTGCATGACATTATTCAACAAACACTCCCCCCGAGAGTGCTTGAATCTTTTCCCAATCTTTCTCTAAAGACAAAGGCTTTATATAGTTAGCACACTCCACCGGCTAGGAAAACAGGTTGCACCCGGTAGAGACAGAGAGGGTAACATTCCTCCTTATCTGTGGATCTTCAGAAGGGGCAACATAATTTTGCCCCAAATTCCCATGAACTGAGAACTGGGGAGGAGGAACATCCTCCTTCGTGATTAGATGTGGCTGGTGGAGATGATGCAACAGTTGCTGGTGGGAGAGTGGATGAAGATGGAAGTGATATAGCAGTTGCTGGTGCGGGTAAATTCGGGGATGAAGCTAATGTAGTTGAAGGGTGTGAAGAAGTTGCATCAAATGCAGTGCTGGCAGTTGGATGCTTGCCAACCAAAGACGGTAGGGACTCGATACTCAGTCCCGCAGTACCGAGCACAGCAATTGGGACCCGATAACTGGAGTTGGCATTTTCTACCAAATCAAACTCCCCCAGAGCGCCGAGACGTCATCCTCAGTTGGTGTAAGTAACTCAACAGACTGAGCATTCTATTGAGTTTATGGTAAACATCGCCTTCTGTGTAGATAAGCCCCATCATCACTGGCGTCTCCATCATTGTCGACTAACATAGTGTCTATGACTCACCCGGGAAGAGGGCTAGTGATCACAACTTCCGGAGACGACACAGGGGTAGTAGTCTTCGCCCTCTTATTTTTTTCCCCCGCCACAGAAAGAACACCTTCTTTTTGGTTGCTTGTTCTCCGGCTAGGTCCCCCGTGGTGAAGCATTTGCGCCCAAAATAGGCCGGGAGATTCCTGTTCAAGTAAGTGCCTCCAGAAGCAGCCTTGCTGCATCAACGGGATCAACCAAGACGTCCTCCTCGGAGACAGCAACAGAGCCTGCGGGTATACCTAATTTCATGAACAAGTCAAAAGTGTTACAACCAAGTTTTCACATAAAAATAGAAACAAGGTAAGTTTAAGTTACCATGATTCTTGGCCTTCCACCCATATTTAAGGTTCAGTACTTTCCACAAACGAGTTTCGGGTGTCGTAACATCCAAGATCTTCTGAACCCACCGGTCCAAGCTTTCCACCATCGGTGGGACCCATCAACTTGCTGAAACATATGACGGATGAAGAGTCAATACGGCCACAATGGAATATTTAGTAAAGGAAAATATTAATTGAAAAATCTTACGAGTGCGGTTCCAAGCGGCTGGAAAGGATGAAGCCGTGTTGGAATGATTTTATAGGTGGTAATTGCAATAAACCGTTTCGTCCACCCACAGTCGTTATCATCATCCATGATGGTCAACAAAGCATGGTGGCCATATTTTCAGAGGTTTATCATTCCCCTACTGAAAATCTTGGGAGAGTAGAGATTCATCATATGAGCTAAGGTTAGCTCTTCTCTAGTCTCCTTGCACAAGCGCCAAAGGCAGGCAACCGTCCTCTACACAGAAGGACTTACTTATGCCAAACATATTTGGTAGTGGAGGCAAAATTTTGCAATCACAGAATCTAGCTCTCCACTCAAAGAAAACGCACCCAAAGTAAATGGATACGTGTAAAAATATGTAAAACCTTCTTTGGGAAGGGTCACTCACTCGGATAGATCAGGAGCAATAATTTCTAACTCATGGAAATAACAGTCTTCCTTCACAGTAGGAATACTGGAAGGATGAACGGAAGAAAGATACCTATTGATAGCCCATGTATGAGGGTTAATATTAGGGAATTTCTCTTCGAAGTCTTTTGTGGTGTTAAGACTTCTGGGGATGATTGAACTCACCGTTGGAGGAGCAGAGTCTTCGGCTTTGTTCTTGCTCTTTGAAGAGCCAACGCTCTTTGAAGAAGAAGCCATTGAATAGAAGAAGGAAAAGGTTTTTTGTTTGAAAAGAATTAGAGAAAAGGTGGAGAACAAAGATGCAAGTGAGAAGTTAGAGGAATTATGAAGTGCATAGGAGAAGGATGATGCGTATAAGTAAAATTTTGGCGGCTAAATTCATGGCCATGATTACCTCGACAATTGGCAAAAGCTATGCTGAATCGTGGGATGACGCATATTTGGTGCATTAAATGCGGAGAGGCGTGCGTCTAATCAACCATTAGAATACTTCAGAGGGAGTTATAGTAATTCTCACCAAAAGAGTGTTTTTACCAACTTCCCGGTGACACAAGAGTTATGTCACCGGAAAACAGGGGGACTATCTGTATAGGTTAAATATGGTATGACACTTGGTTATCTAAAGGAAAGACACGTGGAACCTAAGATGGGGATGGCCGAAGACCGAATGCAGCTATTCCGCTTGTCGCCGGAAGGGATAACATTCATAAAGGTGTAATAGTTGAATGACACAAATGTTCTAGCTAACTTAGACTACATTCTATACAAAGCTTAATATAATTTTACTTTCTCGCTTTTTGATCTCATCATTGCTGTGCCCGGAAACCCTATTCCCGGAACTGTCATTTATGTCATTTCATCTACATTCTGAGGCTAAGTATTGTATAATTCTTCAATTATTTTATTTTTCCTGGATCAAATTAGTTTACTTGTCTAGAATCCACGTATAAATTCAACTATACCGTTTTACGAGTAAGCACTTTCATTGGATGCGACTGTAAAGCTTCATAACGGAATGCTTATTCTTTAAACATTCGAACAATTGTAACTTTTAGAATTGACAGTTGAACTTTTTAGAGTCCGGAACCTTTTTATTGTCTTTTCGGACAAATGTAACGTTAATAAGTGTAAAAAAGAAGAAGATACATTTCTATATATAACGCCGAAATTGAAAATGCTATACCTTAACGGTAATTTTTGTCGTTAGGGTATAGCGTAAGAATAATCACGATATACCCCTTGACGATTTGACTGCAGGGTTTAGCGTGCAAAATTCATACGCTATTCTGTAGCGTTAAAAATTAATACGCTATACCCCTGAAATTGTTCTTATAAGATGAAATAATTTCACCTATACCTAAGCCGTATTTAAGAATTCATACACCAACACTGTAAGAGGTCGTTTGGTAGGATGCATTAGATAAAATAATGCTTGCATTAGCTTTGTGTATTAATAATACCTTGTTTGGTAGACATTTTGAACCTATGCATTAGTTATGCAAGCATTAGTTATACATCCTATTTGGTATTATCATATGCATAACTAATGCATTAAAAACCATGGTATTAGCAATGCAATGAGTTTTAATGTATGCATTATCTTAGTTAAAGACAAAATTATCGTTCAAAATTTATGCTTGATTAAAATATGCTAGTTATTATATTAATGCAAGTTTAAAATAATTTAAATAGTGAGAAATAAAATTATATCTCTAGTAAATAAATAAATACTTAACATATTTCCTTTTTTATTAATAAATATTTAGTTCTATTTTACAATATAGGTAGACAAACCAAATAATTTTTTAAACTTTTTCATATAAAAATATTTCTCAACATATGTTTCTTATAAAAAGTTTGATTGATGGACTAGTTTTGAGGGTATTTTTGTAAATAAATAATTCTTTTAGAAATTATGCAATGCTTTAATACATCAAACCAAATAATGGATAAGAAATATGTGAGCATAACTAATACCATCATAACTAATGCAAGCATAACTAATGCAAGCATTATTAATACACCATATTCAACATTATTCTTATGCACCCTACCAAACGACCCCTAAGAGGTGAAATGATTTGTATTGATTNATATATATATACAAATATAAATAACTCATTTTCTTCTCTCTTTTTTTTTTCAAAAAATAAATCTCATATTATTAGGCTTTTTCACTTTTAACCCGCGTCAGAAATTATTTACATATGGTAGTTGAAAAAGTATATAAAATTCATATAATTTTTGTATATAACATACATAATATATATATATATATATATACAAAAATATATATTTTTCGACTATTATTTTAAGAACAACTATACAATAACATTTACTTCTCGAAATTCAAACTACTGTGAACTTTGATCAATATTTTAAAATATATTTAATGTTTCATGTATATTTTGTTTTGCAGATTAATCAAATTGACTCTCGAGAAGCAAAAAATATTGCATAAATTAGGACAGAGGAAATATAAAATTTAGGTCCTAACTAATTATATATTCTTTTTTTCTCATCAGATTATAGAGTCAAAATTATTCAAATGCCTAGAAGAAATGCATGGTGAATCGTACAAGTCATTCATACTAAGCAAATTAATTCCTATTGCTGGAAATGTTCATGAAACAAATATTATTGTATATATATAGACAAATATTTCTCTAAAGAAATAATATTATTGTATATTAATTATAGAGAAAATGTTATTCAAAGAGAAAAAAAACATATGGCTTTTAATTGTACTTGTATCTTAAAAATGGCAACATCAAGTAAAATTATAGAAGTATAAAATTGTTAATATAAGATCAAGAAAATTTAGAGTAATATTGGTACAAAAGACCGAATTAGCGGTTCTACCAAGGCAAAGTAGGAGTATTTTTATTTGCGCACAAAAGAAAATTTTAAAACAATTATGCTATCATACAAATACGAATATTATAAATTCAACCTCCTGCACTTTCGGAACGACTCAACTGGACCCGACGAATGCCGAGGTTTTAACACTACAAATTAATGGATACATCTCGCTCCCAAAACCCTAATCACCTAAAACCCTCCGACGAGCCTGACCACGATCTTTATACAATCCCTAGTTACACAAGTAAGTAACCCACAAAACCTTCCTGTCTGTATTTTTCTGAAATTAGCTTTAATTTATACATTTTTTTGTTGTTGTGTGAATGAAAAAAAGGTTGGTTTTCTTGGCAAAGCATACACGAAGTAGAGAGGCTATCATTGCGAGAATTCTTCGATGGCAGTTCAATTACAAGGACGCCCAGGATTTACAAAGAGTACAGGGATTTCATTATTACCTCCTACCGTGAGGATCCGACCCGAAAACTCACTTTCACGGAGGTCCGGAAGTCATTAGTGGGCGATATAAGCGTGCTCCACAAGGTATTTACTTTTCTAGAGAAGTGGGGTTTGATCAATTTTGACCCTAGTAATACTGAAATAGCGCCGGCGGTTATTGGTGCTGCGGAGGAAGAGGATAATAAGGAGGATGAGAAGTGGAGGATTAGGGTTGAAGAAGGGGCCCCACATGGGGTTAGGGTTGTGGCAGCTCCTCATTCTTTGAAGCCCCTTGTGCCGGTTCCGTCTCCGGTGGTCGTCGGGGACGGAGGTGGTGGCAGGGGGAGGAGTGGTGATGTGGCAGATAGTGTAGTAAAGGCATCACCTTTGGCGTCCTATTCGGATGTTTATGGGAAGTCGATGGATCCACAAAGGAAGGAAAGTGTAGTGTGTGATAGTTGCAAAGAACAGTGTGCTTCGGGTCATTATGAGTACATCAAGGTATTTTTGTGTGTTTTTGAGTAGTTTGACTTCATTCTTTGCTAGTTTTCTTTATTCGTTTTGAATTCTAGTTACTGCTATGTAGTAATCGCAATAGAGTGGATGGAAACATAATTTGGTGTTCCAGAATTATCATTTTGAGCTCAATATTGGTACAACAATTAGATGATCAGGAATTGAGCATGATATAGTGGATCACTTTGTCTTTGTAAAAACTTTGTGTGTATCTGTTTTGGGTTTAGTAAGTGAGCTGTTTCAGACTATCTTTATTGAAAGGCCAGTGACAAAGCGAGTGATATTCATATGGATGAGTACCTAAATGCTTATTAGTAGGACTTAGATAAGCTGCAATGTATAGTTTGACTATTTTTTCTTTCTATAAGTTACTTTTGGCTTTTGACAAAATTGTTTATATAACAAAGACAAAAAAGTTGTTAGGAGATCTATTAAGCTTTAACCTCTAGACGCAAAATACTCTCTGATGGAACTATCTTTATTGATGATTGCTAAAATTTTTAGAACAACTTGCAGGGCGCTGGCTCTTCAAATCAATGTACTGAGAACCCCTAAATAGACCATGTTTCTTTATTTTGCACTTGCTTGTCAGTTTCTTATGATATTTCCGTCCTAGATAGTTTAATAAACAAGATTTATATGTCGATGCATGATAATTTGCCAATTTGATCTGTAGCATTTTTCTTGTATACACTTATGTTACCAATGCTGGCGAAAAATATTAAAAATAACTTTTAGTTGGAAAACTACAGGATGCTTGAAAATTGGTATATTCAGAATAGCAGCTGTCTTGATTGCTTTCTCTTGGTTTTATCCAGAATGCAAGCTATAATTTATGCGAGAAGTGCTTTAAAAGTGGTAATTATGACAAGGACAAATTGGCAGATGAGTTCAAGTTGATGGATGGTGCGAACTCCAAGGCTGTCTGGACTGAAGCAGAAACCTTACTCCTATTAGAATCTGTATTGAAGCATGGTGATGACTGGGATCTTGTTGCTCAAAATGTCAAAACAAAGAGTAAACTGGATTGTATCTCAAAGCTTATACAGTTGCCTTTCGGGGATCTTATGCTTGGTTCTATTCACAAAAAGATTAAACATTTGGACACAAATGGTGAGGTAAGCAGCGTGGATCAAGCTCAAGGTGCAATAAGTGAGTCTGGAGAAACTCCTGGAAATCAATCTCATGAGCAGAACCAGGAGCATCAACAGAATGGAGATGGTGAAGACAAAACCCCTCCTCTCAAGAAAATACGCAGGGCTCCAATTGCAGAAGCCAGTAGTTTCCTGATGAAACAGGTACACAACTCACCATTGTTGCCATTGTGTCTAGTTGATCAAATAATGTTCTATTTGTATGTGGAAAGCATATCGAGCAAATAAGCAATTTAAGAAATGTTAAACACAGGATAATAGGAAGTCCAAGAAGGAAAAAATGCTACATGTGGCTTTTGATTGTTCTAAACATTCCAAGATGTGAAAAGAAGTAGCTTTATGGTTTCATAAGTAAATTACTGAAATGCGGTGGGCGTTTGATCTTGAGGTCGTCTTGCTTTGTTGCAACTTGCAACTTCCACGTTTATTACTCTTGTAAAAAATTGGTGATCTGTACTATTCAGGTGGCTCGGATCTCTGGTGCTGTTGGTCCACATATCACAGCATCTGCAGCTGAGGCTGCTGTTACCGCCCTTTGCTACGAGAACCAGTGTTCAACGGACATTTTTGATGAAGATGATGATGGATTGGGATCAATTGCTGATATCAGTGAGACAGAGAGGTTACTAATTCTCCTTCCATCCTTTTTTTTTTGATGAATAGTTAATACTATCTCCATTCATTTTCATATCAGTTTTTCTATCTCTCCTTTCCGGAAATGGTCATTTTTATTCCAAAAAGTACTACACTATATTAGCAATTTAGAACACATGAATTTTTTTGGCTTACGTTAATACTTATTTATAGAGGGTAATTCTGATTAACACATTCCTCTTCTCTTCAATTCTTTAGAAAAGTGAAAGGTGAAAAACAATATGGGATAAAGGGAGTATGTAACTATCAGCTTGTTGCTTAACATTTGTTTCAGTCTCTGCAGTTAATCTTGTAGAATTCCCCATCATGTATATTCGGCATTTTAATGTTTGTATCTTGATTTCATTACATCTTGGCTAAATAATCATTACAGTGTTCTAAATTTACTTTTATATGAAATTGTATTGTCATATTCCCAGAGGGAGTCAAGATGAAAGTGCTAAAGGGGAGGAAAAGTCTGCCAGCTCAGGTATTTACCCCGTGATAATTATCATTTTTGTCTCTTTAATTTCCAATCAGACCGGAGCAACTGCTAAAAGTTGGTTCATGGTCACAACTTGTCAGTCATGTATTACATGGTTATGTTCTCTTTTTATCAATTTTGTGGTTACGCTGTCTTGCAGAAACAGAGGTGGCAGTCTCCCAAAGGAATACTATACCTCTAACTTTACGCATGAGGGCCGCAACTGCAACTGCTCTCGGCGCTGCTGCTGCTCATGCCAAATTGTTGGCTGATCAGGAAGAGAGAGAAGTAGAATATCAGGTTTCTACTTTAGTCGAAGCACAGGTAAGTTTATGGTTTAGAACAAGTTTCGGGGAAAAGAAAAGGAAAAATGAAAGAAGCCTTTTCGGAAAAAAATGAAAACTGGGTCAGGAATTGGACCTAAGAGCTTTCTTCATATTCAGAGAAGTCTAAAATACTTGTGCTTTATTATCCTCTGCCTCTGCACATGCTTCTCATTTTCTAGCTTCTTTAGTTCCTGATACTTTGGTTCTTCCCTCAATATCTTTGGTTGGCTTGGCTTATCACTTATGTGTCTTTCCATTACATGTAGGTGAAGAAGTTGCAACGTAAAATGAAACATGTCGAAGCTCTGAACCTGATGATGGAGAAGCAACATGCCCAAATGAAGGATTTAGAAGATTCTTTAGTTACGGAAAGAATGGACATCTTGCAGAAGATATTTAGCGCGGGGGTATCTAGATGGAGTGATCATGCTTCTGCCAAATCTCAAAGTAGCAGCATAGCTTGATATTGTAGAGAGACTCCAACAATTAATTTCCTTCTTCAGATATTCTCCTGATGATGATTGTCATGTGCCTGATTAACAAATAATAGATCCATTTGCTGCTCAATTGAAGTGTGCTGCTTTTCATAAATGTCAATGTAACTAACTATATGCTAACTTCATTACTGGTTTAATCATGGAAAGACTTTTAAAGAACTGCAAATGTATTTCAAGTGTGTAGCATTGATTGATTTGAAAAATTGGGAGGTAATCCCTGCTGCTGTGGATCAAGGAAGAAAAACAATGATTTTATTTTTCAGAGCATGGATAGAATTCTTATGTGAATTCCTACAAAGATAAGGAGGGTAAGAAATGTTTTCTCATAGATTTTAACACCTGAAAGATCATACGGTAGTTAAATGCAGAAGCCAATAACCGAAAAGCATAGAATAGCTTACCATGAAGCTGCAATATTTTCTTTTGAATCATTGGTCGTGCTAAATTTCAGCATGACTTTTACAATAGGGATTTTTCTTTTTTCATTTTCATTTATACCCATGATTATGTTCTTCATTCTATATGTACGATGGGGGACATATGTCTAATACTAATAAAAGAGTAATAGTAACTGACAAAAAATACCAAGAAAATACAAATAAATAAATGAGTTCAACAAAACCAAATGAGCAGAAGCACTTGTTGCCAACATTCTGAACAAGACGAGCAGCAACAATAATAACAAACCCAGTGAAATCTCACATGTGGGGTTTTAGGAGGGTAATGTGTACGTAGACCTTACCTTCACCCTATGAAGGTGGAGAGACTGTTTCCGATAGACCCTCGGCCCAAGAACGGTAGAAGAAAGCAATAACCAAATACTAGCAACAACAAGATAAAAGGCAGCGGAAGCAAATAGCAAAACATGTAATTAACCAAGAACAAGGAATACGAGACTAGCGTCAACTACTGGAAATAGTGACGCACCGTTTAAAAACAAGGAACTAGGAATAGGAAAATACAAGACAATTATTGAAATAATCATTGATTACACTAGTACACCCAGTAATACATTTACCAAATAGTGACCGACTTAATATTACAGTAGAAAAACCCAACAACATGCCTTCCTTCCCTCCTCTTATGCAATACAAAGAGAAGTGGATTAGAAGGAACCTTATTCTAAACATTACTTCCTTTGTTCCATTTTATATGACAGTACTATTTTCACCGTGGTATTAAATAAAACGGAGTATACACTACCAAGTATTACCATTTACCCCAAACAGATGCAGTATTTCCCTCTAGGGCCAGTGGCACAGGTTGCACTTTTGTACTTGACATTCAAGGCTTTCTTGCATGCAGCTACACATTGTGGCACTGTGCATGGATTTATGTCAATCCCAAATGCACTCTCTACAATCTTTGGAGCCCAAATTAAGAGCACAATTGCCACAGCCACCATTACTATCATAGCTTCACTCTTCTTCATTGCCTTTACTTCCATTTCTTTCTTAATCGGTTTACTTTGTTTTCTTCTTCTTTCCATAAAGATAAGTTTTCACGTCTATTTATAGCTAGTGAAAATTTGTAGTCCGCTGATTCCCATTAAGTAGGTAACCAATATTCTATTACGCTTAACTAAATGCAGCTCATAATATTGTAATCTAGGATTTTAGTATTAAACAAGTAAATTAAGATATGAAGTATCACATTCCACTAGCCATATGTGTATCTTTTTAATGTTAATATATGCTGTGTCCAATAAAGAAACAACGTTTTGGCGATTCCTCTGTGCTTCTTTTCCACGTGTAGGAGTTCGATTTTTTGGGATTAGCTGATTGGTGATTAAAATGACCTTTGGGCAAGGGATTGAAACTGCTTTGTGTATCAGGCTTAGGTCTAATCATATAATAGTACAAGTGAATAAATGGAAAATTCTGATGTTGTCTCTCTTTTTCAAATTTGGAAAATGAATATTGGAGCCCGCACCACTATGTGTTATGATTTGCAGGGGATTACTTTCTTTGTTATGACCCAAAAAGATACGGACTGATGTATCTCTATTGAGTTTCAGTTTGAAAATGGGATGTGAATTGCAGGTGTTATTTGGTAGTTTATTGATGGCCTAAGGGCATCTCCAACCTTTATTCCCATTTCTAAAATGAGATTTACAACTTACTCCAACCATTTTCCCATTTTTCTCGCAAAAAAGAATATTTTTCTCTCTCTTCTATATTATATTATTATCTTTCATTTCAATTTTATTTTTTAATTCCATTAAACAAATTCCATCTTTTATTTTCATTAATTTGTAATTTCCATTAAAATAATTTCATAAAGTTTTAAATAATATAATTTACAAGCAATTATTATAGATTAACTAATAATTTTAAATAATATAGTTTGTATATGTATTTACTTACTGTTTTTTTATTTAATATTGCAGCTTACACAAGCAAAAGCTTTACTTATGTAAGATCCGAACTTCAAAAAGTGTTTTAAATTTGATCATGTGTGGGCTACAATGAAGGATTTTGAGAAGTTTAATGAAGGCGGTTTTTGAAGGAAAAAACCAAGAAAGCAAGGCTATGCTAATATATCATCGGAGTCTGAGAAAATCCTACCCCTGATTCACCCTATCTATCATTTCCTAACTTATCATCATTTTCACTAAATTTAAATGAGGATGTTGTAGGTGATTCCACATCATCACAATGACCTAGTGAGGTGAAGAAAGGAAAAATGAAGAGAAAAATTGACGAAGATTATATGAAGACAATCCAATAATCAGAAAATAATCGGATGGTTGAGGCGATGAATAAAGCAACCAAGGCAAAAAAAAGAAGTTTTGACTGTTCAAAAAGAAAAACTAAGAGTAAAAGAAATGAAAGAAGAAAATAAAGTTTTAATGATGGATGCGGATTCTATTGTCGATCCGACTCATCGAGAATTTATGCAACAAGAACAACAATGAATAATGTATAAAAAAAGTCAACAATATCCACAGTCACAACCACAACAATCCTCGGCCCCATTCACTCAATACTATAATGATTTTGTTGTATCTCGTACATACCTCCCTACTAAGTTATTATGCTATTTACGGTAGTTTCAATTTTTATGTATTTTCAATTTTCATGTATTTTCAATTGTTACTTTTCAATTTTAACAACATCTAATATTTTATATTTGCACCATTCATTTTTTGAGATGATTATATATTTTTTGTACATTTATAACTTATAATAAAATTAGCTTACAATTTTACATAAAAATACAAATGCACGAAAATTAATTTATCAAATTTATACGCCAAAGTTAAGGTGTAAAATTAATATTTTAAAGATATTACATAAACATAATTAGATATATATAAAGAGATAAATTAAGAGAGTTAAATAATAAAATAATAATAAAATATACATGAATAGTAATAGGGGAGATGAATAGTATACCCCATATTTGGAGGAACATTATTCATCCCCATTTTGGAGGTAAAAATAGGGGAGGGTTGGAGCTCCATTATGGCAAAAGTTGCCCCCATTATGGAGTAATGGGAGAGGGTTAGAGATACCCTATCCGAATGTCACGATATAGGGGTGGCTTGTTTTCCTTACACGTAAAAGAACTCAATTAGAGTAGTTTGGTTTGTGAACAAGTTATATATAAAATAATAATTCCGGAATTATAATACTTGAATTAAATAATGATGGATTATATCCTTAACTAAGGATAAAGCTAAAGAGTTGGAAGGAAGGTTATCGGCAATGGGAGCTTGGAGAAGTAGTGGGGACGCAAACACAATGTGGTCGACGACTGCGGACTGTATAAGAAANTATGGAACTGAATGTTGGCCGGTAAAGAACTCACACATCCAGAAGATGAAAGTAGCAGAGATGAGGATGTTGAGGTGGATGTGCGGGCATACAAGGATGGATAAGATTAAGAATGCAGATATTCGAGAGAAGGTGGGTGTGTCCCCCATGGAGGACAAGATGCGGGAAGTAAGAATCAGATGGTTTGGGCACATTCAGAGGAGGAGCACTGATGCACCGGTGAGGAGGTGTGAGCGACTGGCTGTAGTGGGCACGCAGAGAGGTAGAGGGAGACCTAAGAAGTATTGGGGAGAGGTGATCAGACAGAACATGACGCGACTTAGGATTACGGAGGACATGGCCCTTGATAGGGAATTATGGAGGTCGAGCATTAAGGTTGTAGGTTAGGGGAGAGGGCGAATATTTCTACAGCACAACTGAGAGAGACTATCTAGTTAGGAGTTAGACTAGGAATGTCAGTGGTCGTCTATTGATGCAGGGCTTTACCTTCTAGTTGTACTATACCAGCCATCTAATTCGTATTTCGTATTTCGTATCCTGTATTTCATATTTCGTATCTCTTATATATTATTGTTATTTTATTACGCATTTTTATGGTACTAATATATTATCTCCTATTGCTTTTTTTGAGCCGAGGGTCTCCTGGAAACAGCCTCTCTACCCTTCGGGGTAGGGGTAAGGTCTGCGTACATATTACCCTCCCCAGACCCCACTTGTGGGATTATAATGGGTCGTTGTTGTTGTTGTTGTTGTTTTTATTGATAGATGTTTGGTTCATTGGATAAAAATGAGATATACAAGCATAATATAAAATATATGATTGATTTAAATTAAAAACTTGAATAAATTTTTATTTTCAATTTTAACCTTATACTTTCTTAAGAAACTTTGGACGAAGAGCTTTGGAAAAGGGCACAAATATGTTATTTTGATTAGTAATTTGGAGATTTGTATCCTATATTGAGTGTGCGATAAAAATTGTGCCACAATTTTAAAATAAACAATCCTAGATTGCTCATTCTAGAATAAAAAATTCTACCAAACGTGGAATAAATTTATCCCGTATCTTAAGGGATTATGACCCTTATCCCATGAACCAAAAAATCCTTTACTGTTCTCCACCCTCTACCATCGTTTTATTTGCCATTTAACATTTTGACACATCCTTTTAAAAAATTTATTTATTTGATTAAATTACTCTTATGACTTAAATGATTTTGGGTAAACGGAACCAAAATTTTTAAAATAGTGTGTATAAGTATTTACACACTATCAAAATCTAGGACTAGCTTTCTATCAAAACGCCTGCTGGACATGAAGTCCCAACTGAGAGATATCTAGCCTTGCTACAATTTCTCTCCTACTGCTTTTTCCACCTAAACTACATCAGGGTACCA